AGTATTTCTCAGCATGTTTAGTTTCTTCTTGGATCTCCTTCATTGTAGTTTTTAACTCTGCTATGGTTTGTTAGTACTGCTTTTTTTCATCTGCCTAAGGTACTGAGGCACCTTCAATATTAATTTTCCTAATAATCGTTGCCAAGAGGATGAAGGGCAAGGACTATGTCTGACCCTAGTTCAGTTTGCTTTACTGTTAAAGCAGCTTCTTCCCAAAATGCGTTGGTTTCTTGGGTGTGAATTGTTGTTGTTTGTCAGACTGCGTGAGGCCAGAGCCTTCCAGAACACCTGAAAGAAGATGAGTAGATTTAAATGATGGTGGCAGGTGTGGGCAGGCAAGGAGAACATTTTGTGCTTCTTTTGCTGTATTTCTCATAGGGTTTCTCCCTGTTCTTCTGAACACTCACATGCCATTAAACCCCTGTGTTTCCATGAGAGAACATTCCAACTTTGTCACCTCTTTTGTCTCTTGTAATTCCAAACATTCAAGTCAGTCTTTGCATGTACAGATTTTACTTTTTCTCTTCTGGTAATTATAAAGCAAAGAAGTCCTTTTTTTGACCATTGGGGAAATAAGGCTCTTGGATTTTAAGGCCACACTCAATAATTATTAGCTTTATTTTGGTGCTTCATCTCTTTTGTGCATGTGAGGTCTGGTATACATAGGAGTCCTGTGTACCAGAAACATTTTGTTTTCCAGTTAAAAAACTTGGCTTCATGGCAGTGAAGATACGCTAGCCAAAATAAACAGAAGGTCAAAGTATAGGTTATTTTAAGTCTGAGTAGGATACCAGGATTCTTAAATCATGCAGAATTTGCCAGCATGGATTACATCACAACTCTAAAGACCTAGGATATATCACATTAGGTACAGAGGTTATCCATTTAATTTGTTGCGTTAGCCAGTTGTGAAATGGGCAGTTTTCAGCTACCAACAAAATTCAAAAGACTGACTGCAGTACCATTCAGCATTCTTCACCTATATTCTGAAATGAATAGCGTGCTAATAAAACAGTCATTGTCTTACTAAATAACGTTTTTCTTACATGCTAAATTGTTTTCTCTTATTTGTCTGCTGTCTTACACTTTCATACAACATTTCTTTTGTGTGGTAAGCTGAAAGCTGCTTTGGTGTAGTGACTACTCTGGTTAATGAGGAGAGAGGTGTAATGAGTTACTTAGAAATTTTCTATGTATAACTTGAAATGTTCAGATTTATACTCTCGGTTTCAATTTAATCTCCGAGGCAACATTTTCCAGGTGAAATTATCACCTGCTGTATGAAAACCATTGACAAGTGCTTGGAAACGGAGATGAGAAAATGAGTTAAAATATATCTGTGGGGATTTGGCTGTGATTTCTTCAAGTATTTCCTGTTTGTGTGTGAGATTGCAGGATGGGCAGGTGTACTGATGGTCACTGTAATACTAAATTGGGGATACTTCTCTGAATCCTTCTAGAAATTGTAAACATCCAAATTCTTGAGGGCCAGGAATTTTGAACTTTGGGAGGAGGTTATCCAAGTTAGTTTTGCCTCTTTCAGTGTGTTCAATTGTCTAGCACATTACTTGTGATATTTACTCCTAGTGTCTACTTTAGATGCAGTTTAGACAACCAGTGTTTGGACTCTGTTTCTTACACACTAAATGGAAAGACAGAGCGGAGGACCTAGCACTGTGGCAAGCTAGTGGTTTGGAAGGCCAGTTTTTCATTTGAAAAGACTGCAAAAGATGGGTTAACAGACAAGGCACCCTTGCTTCTCCCTGCCTCTTCTGAGGTGTGCTATGATTTGGGCTTTTTTCTCTCCCTGATTTTTAGGAGGTTTGTGAGAGGAATTAATGTGTATGGAAAATATCTCCAGCTTTTAGATCAGCTTTTCAGCCATGAGCTGACTTGAATGAGGTGACTACCAGCAAATGAGGAGTAGGATAGCAGCATGCCTGTGTGGCCTTTTTGTGTAAGGGGAATACATGCCTTTTTCTCATCATTCCCAGCCTGGAGAGACTGCAGAATTGCAAATGTTTGAATATCTGCAAGCTTTTGATTGTGTTGTTCTTTTTAAAGTACCCACTCTTGTTTACACTGATGCATTGTCTTTTGAGAGATTAGCATAAATAATAGGCCCTGCTTAATCAGTGAGGTAAAGAGCCATGTTTTACTTCACAAAGTCAAGTAATAAATCTTAGTGAAGTTAACAGCAGTTCCCACCTTTTACTTCCATTAACAAGGTTTAGATGAGTGTTGGTCCTGGTTTGTCTTGCCTGGGATTTTTACCTTGCAATGCAGTAATGAATGTGTTAGGAACAAGCAGAGGATACCCTCCATCCTTTTCCCCCTCCTTGAAGGACTGCACCCAACCACCACTGATGCTTTGTGAATGGGAAATTACAGCTACTAAATTTGACATTGTAGACATAACTTAGGGTTGTGACTGTGGAAATGTCTACTACTTCTTGTATGTTTAAGTTTGAGTAAATATTTTGCAATCTGGGAAAATTTTAAAAAGTTCTGAACTGAATAAACAGCCAACTTCTGATTGGAAGCAACTGTTTGGAGAATTTTGTTATTGCTTTACATTTAAAAGAAGTTAAGTACTGCAAGTTTGTGTGCTTTCTTTAATCTATTATAAAACTCTGTTTAGATTGTTTAAGAATCATTCTTAGATAACTGAAATAGGCTACTCTGCTTTAGGTAGCCAAACCATGTAAAAGGGTTAAAACTGTGCTAGAAAAATACCAAGGTAAAGACCAGTGCAAACATACCTGCATTAGAATAGCTAGCCTGTGAACATTTTTATTTTAATTATTTTTCCAATGACTACCTCCTAAGATTCACCCAAGTGAGTAGGTCATGTTTTCTGCTCCCTCTTTCTATTTGCCTGTTCTGAAAATTTTAACAGGAAACTCGGTAAACTTCAATCCCAATAGTTAGTAAAGTGGCTAATTTTTCTGAAAACTGGGTGGATGTGACTAAGGCTGTGATTCTGTCCCCAGCTGGTTCTGGCACTTGCCAAACTCTCTGCTAGCTGGTTTGGTATGCTAAGCCAGCAGAAATCTAACCTGACCAAAAATCACAGTTTAATAATATCAGCTAGATTGGGTAGGGTCATCCCATAATCAAATCTTGACCTTGCAGAGGGATAGGTGCACAACTGTATGCAAAAGTGCATCTCTGTCAAGCAGTTCAATAAGTTTACCTTTTGGTACCTTTGTGAAATCTCGGATTTAGTTTCAAGTTATGTATAAGTTGTTAATTATTTCTTTTTTTTAATGTCCTATTGCAGAGTGCTCACAAACTTATGTTGATATCATAAGTTGATATGATCCATACATGTTAATCAGAATTACTTTATTGGGTCACACTTGAAGTATCAGTTTGTCCGGTATCCTGTTTCTGACTGTAAATAGTATATTCGGAGAGCCAATAGTAAATATACAGGGAAGAGTATAGTAAGAAGGAACATGTTATGATCATTCCTTAAGGCCCTTCTAAGTATCTGCACCTTAGAGACTTTTTAAGCAAGATATGACATCCTTGAATTTTAAAGTTATTTGTGGAGCTTGCATTTGTCCAATTTACTTTCTGAATCTTTAACATTTTGGAACTCATTGCAGATCACAAAGCTTAGCTACAGATCATGTGCAAAAAATAACTTTTATGTGTTTGAACCCCAATTAATAATGTCAACTGCTGTTCTCTAATGGTTGCATTTGGAAAATACTTTTGCTTTATTTAACTTCTCTTTGTCACCTATAATTCTGTACTCATTTTTTCTGCTCTGTGTGCTCCTTTTTTCATCCTAAGTTGTCTAAGTAGCATATTTCTGCTTTCACTCTGTCTTTTTTGACAGGGGAGGCCTGATGGCATACATTACTACATCTGTGGGTACACTGTGGATTAATGCCATAGAATTGTCTTTTTGGTTTGGCACTTTCAAGTCTTTCCAAGCAGTTATGTTTTGTTTGCTTTATGATAGTTGTCCAGCTAGAGTTTCCTTTGGATTGCATGACTACGTGACTGATCTTTCCTGACAGATGAGCTCCTTTGCTAGGAGTGTTATTTTTGCATTTGCCGATGTTGAATTTCTGGTAATTTCTTCCACAATCCCTTCACAAGTAAGAGGGTTCTGCAACTGATACAATCATGCATGCCTAGGACCTGGGATGAAATTAGGACTAGATTGCACGGATGTTATGCAAAAATGCAGAGTACTTTGGTTTGCCAAGATTTTAATCCAGGGGCAAAACAGGGGACAGCTGATGAATACAAAGAATTGCAACAAAAAATTTATAAGCAAAGCTGCCGTGGTCTCAAAGAAGTTTGCATAGACATAATAATAAAGTATTATTCTGAGAAATTAGCCCGTCTATTGTGTTTAATAAGTAGCATCAAAGGAAGCATCAAGTATTTGGCAATTTTACAAAGAGAGAACAGAGACTGCCAGCTGTTAGCATGATGGAAGCAGCAGTTAGCTTTAAGTGTTACATGCGAGTGGATAGCTAGTGTGAGAATAATCTAAGGGGTGGGGAAGTTAAAGCAAGCAATTTATGGTTAATGTCATGGAGCACGAATCATGAGGAAAGCAGAGAAAGGGTGATGTGTTAGCCATACAAGTCAGCATTTATGTATGTTCAGTAGGATAAGCAGGAGGGAGTTAAATGGAGTGAGTTGTACATGTTCTGTTTGTCTGCTGTGGTTTGGGTTGGGTTGGTATGCACTGGGGATAATGGGAGCTTCACATCTGTCATTTCCACACTGAACTGGGTACGCAGTGAGTGGAGAATGAATGGAGTCCCCAGTGTGACGGGGTACATTGCAGAAAGGAATGCCAGATCCAAAGCATTGAAATGCCAGGGCAATGCAGAGGTCAGTCTTACCTAAAACATCATGAAGACCTTGCTTGATGACTAAATAATTATAAACAAAAGCATGTATTCTTGTTAATTTACTAACTGGCATCTTAAAAAGGAAAAAAATGTTATTTTTATTTACTTTTCTAGTTCTAGGTCCAATGATTAGTTCTGTGACAAGACAGCATGACACTTTGAGTATGACAGAAGCCCTGATGCTGCAGCAGAGGCTGGGAATATTAATGGCCAAATCTAGGTGAGTGATTTTTAATTCTGCCAGTTCCCTACCTGTTTAATTTCTTCCTCATAGCCTTGGTTTGCATCTTGTCTTTGAAGCAGCATTTCAGTTCTTGTTTTTCTGAAATATTAGTGTTAGAGCATACTTGAGACAAAATAACAAGCTTGTATGATTATTGATTACATACCCTTTCTTTGTTGTTCCTGAGATACAGAGGCTGTGCTTCAAATATCTTCATATACTACTGTTTTCTTCTTGCAACTGTAGTGATTTTTTTTTCTCCAAAGTGCTTTGGATTTTAAGTTCTGGGTTTTTTTTAAAGTTTTTTAAAGAAGCAGGCACCTGTATTCTACGGACTGTCAGTTATTTCATGCTTTGTCAGCTATTTCATGCATAGGAAGTCAGCATGCAGCTATGTAGTTCTGTTTGCACTACAAAAAACATTTGAGGAGGTCTAAGTCTGGGCTTTATTGAGTGCATGCATTTGTGCCTGAAGGCTGCTTGAGGCATATGCAACTACATTGGGTGGACCAGAGTATTCACTGTTAATCTGCATTGAGGCTGTTGTCACCTGATGCTCTTCATATCAGGGGATTCTCAGGCTAAACAGCACAGTGGTAGCAGGTTGACAAGAACATCATCTGAACATTACCCTGACATTGAGGGGTGCCAGGGTAGGAAACCAGAATTACGTGTTATCACCTGTATCTCCCTTTCTAAACAGAAGAGGAGGAAGAACTATTACTGCTACAACTATTGCTGCTACTACTATAAAAATTTCAAAACTTCACAATGCAAAAAAAAAAAAAGTTGTGTCTAGCACAGATTCTCTCTGCAGCAGTAGAAGCAAACAAACAATGCCCAGTTTAATTTTGAGTTGGGGAAAAAATATTTATTAATGTAATGCATGTTTTCATGTTACGGCCAGAAATGACATTAAAGAATCCATGATTTTGATAAGGTGTCTGGTATTTTGCCTCTTTATGACTGGATTAATTGGAGCAGTGTTGTTACCGCTGCAGGAGATTCTTGGTGGCTGATATATACAGTCTCTGGAGTAGGAGTATCTCTTTTAAATGGCTTTTCTGATGAAAAAAAGTGGAAGAGTTAGCTGCTCTTAATTGTATTCTTTGCATCTTATCCCTTAGCAGACTAAAGAGCTACGTGGACACTACTGTTGCGTGCTAATAAAAATGCCTGTCTAGGAACCAAGTCATGGTTTTCTTAAGATGATGACATTGGATTTTTTCCCCTAGGAAGACTTACCAGCCCATACTGTCTTCTTTCTTCTTGATCTGTAGTGTTAGAACTCTTGTTGACTTAATAGTCTCTTCTAGGATTTTGCCCCATTTTTCATTTGTGTGGTGGAAGTTTTAGTTCTTATCCAATATAAAAATGGTGTGAAAGGGTTGTGTTTTCTTTTGTCAGACTTTCTTGCATTTAAGAAATGTGAGATTTAACCCTTTTGTATGGTGGTAGAGGGTGAAACAGCAAGTTACGAGACTTCATTTTGTGAACATTTTATTGAACTGTTTTGTGAACGTTTTCCTACACACAGAGAAATCTTTAAATGAAAATACCAAAAATATTGAGGTGATTTTTTTTGTTTCATTACTTTAGCCATGCTGTTCAGTGTTACTTGAGTATTTTTACGGTTTTAAAATGAATGTGTAATGCAATCCAAATGGAAATTTACAGAAATAAGAAACTCCAAGTCTTAAGACATTTGTGTTGAATGTGGGGTTTTTTCCTTCCCTTGTCTTTGAATACATAGTTTGATATACACTGCTATATTGGAAATACTCAAAATTGGAAGCACAGAGCCTCACTGCGTGGCTGCCAGCACAGGGCTGCCTGCAGGCCTGGAGCCCCTCCACCCTAGAGGTGCCAAAGCCAGGGCAGCCTTTCAGGGTTGCCATATGGGCTTTTTGTCTTGCCTGTGCCTGGTAACCTGCTACAGCCCAGGGCTTCTAGGGGTGTCTCTAGTGCTCTGCTCCTGAGCCAGGGAGTGCTCATTTAGATGGAACTGGAATCCAGATAGCTGCCTTGTGTAAAAAACCTGGCTTAGGAAATGAGAATCTCACGCAATAAGTGGTTTGGTTTAGTTTTCTCTCAAGCTGCTATTTGTCACCTTAATGGGAATTAAGGTGACAAATCAAGAGTCTGCTAGTAACCTCAAGTTGAGTTATTGGTAGGACTTTAACAGCTCAGTTTTGCCAGTCCTTACTGTCAAATCCAAATTAACTATCATATTTGCAGTATCTATGTTGACTTTTTTATTAAATGTGACTGTAACATTCATCCTGAATAATTGTATGTCAGAGTAATTTGCATTGGGTTGTTTGTTGATGTTACTTCATTTTTACTTCAACTAAATTATCGTTTTGTTGGTTGATTTTTTCCCCCCTTTAGAGATCAGATGGTCTTCTAAAGAAGTCATGGGTAGCTGTTGTAGCTGTCCAGATAAAGAAACTGTCCCAGATAACCACCGAAACAAATTTAAGGTATGCAGCTGGTGTGATGTGCTGTTAACTATTTTGTTGTTTTGTTACAGACTAGGTCTGTGATTAAGAAAAAAAAAAGTAATGAAAATAGAGTGCAAACGTCTGAACAGTTGAAACACTGCAGGCCGCCTGTGGCTACAGGTTTCTCGTGCACCTTTGAGAAACCTTCTCTTCTCAATGGTGACAGGAATTCCCTAGACAGGGTAGGCTTTTTAGGACAGTTTTGATTTTCAGGAAAGAGGAGAAGCCCTGTGATTTTCATCTATCAACATTTCAGTTGGTTGAGCCCAAGTAAGTGGTGTTGCCTATGGAAGTTTATAGACGGTTACGTTAGGAAAGGAGTCCTTAGTAGAAGGGAATAAATAGCTTTTGGAGAAGTGTGATTATGAACCTGAATGTGGGGTCATCAATAGAAAATTTTAGGAATGCTGGTTTGACTTGAAAGTCGCTACTGATTACACATTTTGAAAACGTTTGTCCTTTATGTGGAGAAATTTTATTTCTAAGTGCCCTTTTGTCTCAAAAATCTCTGGAATTTATAAGCCTGTGAACACTCGTTCATGTGCTTGACACGCTAAACATGAAGCAGCCGAAGTCACTGACTGTAAGTCAACATACTTCTTGTTTTTCTCCTTGTAGAATTTCTCTATTTTTTGTTTAGCGGGGGGTGGGGGAGGGAGAGATAATATAATCTGCAAAATTATGAAAATGGGCATGAGCCTCACAGGCAGATGAAACAATTCCTAATTCTTTTCAATTGATTAGATTTCAAGTTGAAAATTTATTTTTTAAGGAGTAACATTAATTCTGTAGGGAAGTTTTTTTGGTAGATTTTTTTATTGATTAAGAAAGAATCCTACTAAAAGCAGCATTGTGAGGTAAAATAGAGGGGAAATATGTATTGTCCAAATTCTATAAAGGATGCAGATGACGTCAAAACTGTCCTAAAAGCAGAAAGAGCAAGAGTTTAGCTTTATACACATCTTTTCACACAAGATAACTATAAGGTATTTGAATTATTTGTTGACTTTAAAAAGGCAGCAAAATGTCTAGATCTATTGGGTGATTCAGCACAGTGCAAGGCTATACATGTATGTGAAGGAAGCTTTATCTTGGAGCCACTTACCCTTTCTCATTCCTTTTCCCAACTGTAAGCGGGGTTATATGACAAAGCAAATAATTTTTTTTTTTAGAAATGGGGCTCTGAAAGATTCCATTATCTGAGGTATGCCATATCCATGTGGGAATACTAGAATATGTACATAAAGCCAGTTTAAAAAAATATTTAACTTACAAATCTCTTCTACTCTAAATTTCTCATCGGATTTTACAGTAATGTTAGGCAGCCTTATTTGTATTGTTTTTAAATAAGTATTATTTTAATTTTTTTACTTCTGGGTTAGGGTAGCACAGAAACTAGTTTGTTAAGTTATTTTTTTGAGTTTTTTTAAACATTCACTTCAAGGATTTTAACAAATATGATAGCACAAATGGAATCTCCAGCCAGGAATTAAGTATCAAAAGTGGTGTTGTTTCTCAAAAGTGTAATTACCTAATGATTTTTAATTTCTTTTTTATAGGTTATTAATGTGGATGACGATGGTAATGAACTGGGTTCTGGCATAATGGAACTTACAGATACAGAACTAGTTTTGTACACCCGTAAAAGGGACTCTGTAAAATGGCACTACCTCTGTCTCCGTCGCTATGGCTATGACTCAAATCTTTTCTCTTTTGAAAGTGGTCGAAGGTGTCAAACTGGACAAGGTATGTGGAAATGTTGTATATAAAGTGTTTTGGAAATTTATTTGATATTGGAAGATATTTGCCAGTCCTTTGGCAAGAATTATAAAGGCTACAGTTCTATATGTGAATGTGGTTTCTGGAAAAAAATTACCTTATAATGGTCTTTTGGTAGAATGAGGATTTGAGTTGCACATAGTTTTTGGCATTTGTAGGTCTGGAGGACTTCAAGCTTCTGTGTGAGTATTCTTTTGGTCAACTCAGGAGGTGCTTTTGACAGGGAAATTCTCCTGCTGCAGAGGTTGACTTGACTTTCAGGGGGAGGCAGTAGAATCTGAAACTGTGGAGGAATCCCCTCAGAATTCCATAAATTTGCTATTTTTAAGGTTTTAAAAGCCTGGGGCACTGATACGAACAGGATGTCCCCAACTTATTATTGTCTTCAGTAATGCACTTGTGTTTCATCCTCTTCTTAAAGCAAATACGACTTTCATTAATATCAATGACATAATTCTCAAATTTTGACTTTTTGTATGAGATGTGTATACTTCAGTTATGTTCAGATATTTTCTGAGTGACTTTCATCAGAAAAAAAGGATTTCCTTTTCAGTATCCAGACCATGCATGCCTTGGCCAAGGTTGGCTCCCTCTGACAATATTCAGGTGTGTGTTTCTTTCCCCTGCAGCAGTTTCTGAGGGAACAGCTGTCTCTGTTGAGCTCTCAGCCTCGTTTTGCATCTTCCTACTGTGAAATAGCTGTGTGTGGCTGGAATTCTTATGCATTCATATGTTGTGAGGTTAAGTTCCAATGTTCTTCTGGATTTTTGGCATTTACCAGTGTTCTTATCAATAGTTTTAGACATTGAGAAATCACAGGTTTTGTTTTTTAATTTCACTGTTAAAAAGTCAGAAAGATGGAAGAATTGGATCATGTATAAACATAGTCAAAATTCATTGTACAAGCCGAGGTAAAGGAAAACAAGTATTTTTTTAAATGTGAGTTTAAAAGGCACTCTCAGTTCATCTCCTGATGAGACATGGAGATATTTTCAAACGTTGAAGTATACTCCATACTTAACTATATTTTCATAATTCTTAAAGAAATAAACTTTGTTTTGAAGATAATCACTTTAATGGGTTTTGCAGCTGAATTTACTGTTTCTTTTGAACATTGAAAACAGATACCAATAATACTTAATTGAAATTCTAATTTGAATGTTGTTCTCTACTGTCTATTAGCAAATCTGCAAAATCTTAACACCAAGTTTAATTGACTTCTCCACTTTCCTTCTAATTTATCCTTTTTTTAAATAAAAAAGATTAAGCAGGTTGTGTAAGCAGCAACCCTTTCCTCCCTCTTTTGTTTCTTGCCTTCCTTATGTAATACTAAAATACTGTGAATATTGGGAAAAAAGAAATCTGGCAAAAAATGTTCTCTGCTGCCCTTTTGGAGATCTACAGTGGGTTTTGTGGGCACAGTTGCAAAACTTCATCTTCACTTCATGGGATGACGAAGAAATTTTTCATTTGAGAATTCCCTGAATACTGCCCAGCAACTTCTTACATTAGTCAGTATTCTTGTTTCTTTTTTCCTTTAATATCTAGTTATTTCTGTTGTTAAGTTGTGAGAAGCAATGATGGTGAAACATTGAGTTTGTTTTAGGCATTGCAAACATTGCAGACATGTCTTGGGAGCACATTTTACAGATAATTCAGGATACAGAACCTGGAGAAGCTGGTATGTCACCATGTTGTGTGATAGATCACATATGAATGTATTTAAAGGCAGCTGAATTTCTCAGAAACATAGTGGGAGCTTTTAAAGTTTGTGAACCTAGATTTTTTTAAAATCTGGGTTTTGTCCATTGAAATTCAAATATCCAGTGTGAATGTTCAGAAATATACAAAACATTAAACGTGGACTATTGTACATGGCTGGGTTAGGGGTCAGGGACATATAGTAGTAGTTCTATAGCTGCAGTGCTGCATACATGAAGCTTATTCAGTGCAGCAGCTGCATATTAAAAGCTAAGCATCACTCCTTGTAGCCCATTTGGTGTATTCCCAGCTGGGGTTGTGTGAACTTCTGCCATGTGAAGCATTTCTGGTGGTTCTGATCTGTCACAGCTCTGCATTCCTAAGTCAATATATGAGGAATTGTAATTGCCAGCATATTCACATAACTGCACTTACAGAAGTGGCTATATAGGTAGGTAGTTTTCAGTAAAGAGTGTTTTAAGATTGTAATACTCACTTAAAAAATGAGCACCTGCACCCATGTTTAACAAGCATGTCAACTTTAACTTCATGCTTTCAATGGAAGAATAATCCAAAGCTGCGACTTTGCTGGTGAGGGTAAGTTGGGACACTCCCTGCTGTTCAAAGGCAAAGTGGCACAATACACACGCAAAATACATGGTATTGCTGCTAACTTTGTGTTCTGTGTCTATCCTTTAGCCTAAAGCAGTTAGTTTGTTACTGTCTGTTTCACACAGTTCGTCTTACTGGCTTTCATTTTAGTCTTCTTAAAGAAACTAACGTTTTATCCAGTCTTTAAACCCTTTTCTGTTGTGCAGGTATCTTATTCTTATGGTAGTTAATAGAAGTCTGTTTTCGGAAATTCAACTTTGTAGCACCACTGTAGTTTCATTTAATGCTTTTAAAATATATATTTATTTAACAGGTATCCTTTTTATTAGCTCAAAAAAAAGCAACTTGTTTTTTTTCCCCTCATTTAGTGCTCAAAACTTAGTTTTGCTCCTAACTGAATCCGTTTTCTGTTCTAATTTAACTTTTGGTGCATGGGAACTTTATTCTTCTATTAGATAAGCACTTTAAAGGTTGTCACATTAATTTTGTGTGTTTTGGTGCAATAAAAATTTTGTAACACTTTTGCTTCTTTAACAGGTATTCATTATGTGGATTCCAGTTCCATTTCTTGAAAGTTATATACATATTGTAAGGCATGTTTCTGAGTTACAGGACTTTTATTTTTTTTTTTAATGTATTTATAGGAATCTTTGCCTTTAAGTGTGCCCGGGCAGAAGAGCTATTTAACATGTTACAAGAGATAATGCAGAATAATAGCATAAATGTGGTAGAAGAACCAGTAGTAGAAAGGAATAATCATCAAACTGAGTTGGAAGTACCAAGAACGCCTCGAACACCTACCAGTAAGTATGGTTTTACTGTCAGATGGCATATCTGAATGAAATGTGGTACTTAGTTGAAAATACCATTTGATTTGAATTTAATCTTTAAGTAGTTAAAAAGAAGGCTAATTTAAAGCTAAGAGGCTAATTACCAGTGCATTCTCTCAAGGTACTTGCTGAGGATTATCTTCAAGAAATAAGTTTTGGGAACTTAGTTGTTGCATAAGAACCCTTATGAATACACCTATTGAATTGCTTTATGATACATCAACATGCTTTACCTGTAGCATTTCAAAGAAATGTTAAAGTTTGTCAATGTTTCAAACTTTTTATTAGGGGAAAAAATACTGTTTAAATCACATGTGCAGTTGGTTTGGAATCTTTCTTTTGCTCTGAGTAGATGAATGGATGAGTGAAGTATTTATCTAAAATTTTCTGATATTTTTGAAATCTCAGGCAGATGGCTTGATATTTGAAACTAGGAATTCCAGTGTATTGATGATTTCAGAGAAATGGAAGCTTAGGTAAAGGAGTCTGTTTGACAGGGAGAGATGTTAATGGGGGAAAGAGAAGTTGGAGGGAGTTTACTGGGTGTGTAATACACCTAGGTTTCAGTGGTTGCTTCATAAATGTGTTCTGGTAAATACTGGGATACTATTCTGTTTTCCATTTCCTTCCTCCAGGCAAAACTGAGCTTTGTGAATATTTAATATTGTTTTACATATTTTACTTTCTCTTTTGAAAATTAAACTTAAGATATAAAGATATTCATATACAGTAAAATGTTCTATTTTAATATGGTTTTGGCTGTTTTCTAATTGAATCAGCTCCTGGATTCAATGCACAAAGTTTACCCAACGGCTATCCCAGATACCCATCTTTTGGAGATGCTTCATCACACCCTTCCAGCAGACATCCTTCTGTCGGCAGCGCACGCCTCCCCTCTGTCGGTGAAGAATCAACACATCCTTTACTTGTAGCAGAGGAGCAAGTGGGTGTTTTTTTCCCTTTGTACAACTTAGGTTCTATATTGCTTCAGATTTTTCTAATGACTGTTCTGTTGGCTTTCACTTAGTTTTTCAGCATCAGGTATAAATATTCTTACAGTATTTTAACTACCTTAGAAACGTGTTTGCCTTACCTCTTTAAAATGTTGCTTTGTAGAATGGCTTGCTGAGGAATCTATATTTTATATAAAAATAAAGATACAGAAAGTACTTGTTTCCATTATACTATTTTCAAATATTTCAGTTACTATTTTTATACAGTTACTATTTTTAAACATGAATATGTACATTATAATGAGCGATCCTGGTCAAAAAGCTTCTTTATATGTTAATCTTCTATTTGCCAAATAGAAGTCATGGAATAATTTAGGTTACAAGGGACCTCCAGTCTTCTAGATCACAGTTCTAAGTTAGAGACGGTTGCACAGAGCATTGTCCTGGTCATGTTTTGAATACTACAGGGAAGGAGATTCCACAGAATCTGAGCCATGTGTTCGAGTGTTTCACTGCTTTTGTTGTGAAATCATTTCTCTCTGTGTTACCAGATTTTTGCCTGTTGCATCTGGTGTTGGCTGTCCTTTCTGCTGAACATCCCCAAAAAGAGTCTGGCTCTGTTAGGTAGTTGAAAACAGCTATTAGGTGGTTCCATGCATTCTCTTAAAATGGAACTAAGATGATGTCCTCAGCTTCTCCTTGTATGTCATGTACTCCAGCTGCTCTCTAGTCATGGCCCTCCACTGGACTAGCTTCAGTATGGTGCTGTCTGTCTTATACTCTGGAGCTCAGGTGCAGTCTTGTGAGAGCTGAATTGATGGTAATAGTAACTTTCCTCAACTTACTGGCTGTGCTATTGCTAGCACAAACCAGTGCATGTTTGGTTTTCATTGCTGCAAGAGCAGACTGCTGACTCACATTCAACTTATCATCCACCTGGGCCCCTGAAGTTTTGCTGCAAGGCTGGTTTCAATCAGTTGGTATCTAGCCTGTACTGTTGGTGCTGTTTCATACCAAGCACTGAATTTGATATTTGCTGTTTGCTGAACTTCATAAGGTTTCTATGATGTCAGTTCTCTAGGGTGCAGAGGTTCCTCTCAGTGGAAACCCTGCCAGTCTGGATAGAATGAAAACTGTCAGGGTATGTTATCTCTCATCATTCAGGTTGCGGAAGAAAATGATAGTCAAGTTTAAAAATGTCATGTGGTTTAGGAAGACTTTCATGTGTGATAAGAAAAAGTGTTGGAAACCAGCAAAGGTAGCCAGAGCAGAGTGCTGTGAACTGTCTTGTGGGAAAGGATTTGTTAGGAGCCCTCACAGAAGAGCTCAGGTATTATCACTGGAGTTACTGAATAGTAAGTGAGTTAAAAACATCAGGGGAGGAGTCAAGTGATCTGGTAAATGACACTTCAGCTGGCAGAGCTTGACAAAGAGGTTGGCAAGCTACATGATTATTGCTGTAAAATACTACTTTTGCTATTTGGGTGTCCAGACATAGAATTAAAATTTAGAAAAGGATTCCAGTCTTTGCCATTCAGCCTTCTATTGATCCACTGTGGAAACTGGAGTGATATAACCTAGGAGGGTATTTCTGCTGTTCTTAGTGACATACAGTGCCAACTACTGCTTCTTTTTAATTCTGAGTGCCACACTTCATATGGAATTTTATATTTTTCTATGAGTTCCTGTTCTTAGGAGGCTGTCGGCTCTTGAAGAAAGAATGGATAGTTATTCCTGTAGACCCAACCTCTCTTTTTGTTCCTGGAATAGTACACAAGGCAAGAGAGCGAGAGTTTTCTTAGGTCTCTCTGTGGTTTTCTTTTTGGATTTTTTTTTTTAACTTGTATGGACAGTAGATTTCCTTGTAGTGTAGAAGTTATGAACATAAACTTAGCCAAAGTAATTGTTGGTCACTGGTCAGGGACAGCAAAGCAGAGCTCTCAGTGATCTGCCCAGGTAAAGTTATGAGCTAGGCTGGAGCAGCCCAAGGTGGCCTTGATTAGAGCCAAACTCTAGAAGTAGAGCACAACTGAGATAAAACATCAAATAAAAATAATTATCAGTCTAAGATATAAATTCTGTTTTTTCATTAGTGGAACATTAACATAATGAAAAACAAAATTTCAGGGAAAAAACCTGAACTGAAAAAACTTAAACTGACTACAGTTCATCAAAATGCAAGAGAGGTGACTTTTGCTCTTAAACACCTGCCAGCACAAGTTTTTCTTTTCAGATACTTTGGTTAGAAATGTGGGGAGTTAAGAAACTAATAAATTTGGTGGGGGGGAAGGCACAATAGTGTTTGAATTTCTTCTTTTTTCTTTCCCTTTTAGGTGCACACTTATGTAAACACTACTGGAGTACAAGAGGAAAGAAAAAATCGATCAAGTGTGCATGTGCCACTGGAATCAAAGCTTTCAAACACTGAAACAACTAAAGTGAAAGAAGACCAGATGTGTACTGATGACAGAGATGCTCAGGTTCTCCTGGAGCCTGAGGGAGTGAAGTTTGTTTTAGGACCAACACCTGTTCAAAGGCAGTTAATGGAAAGAGAGAAACTGGAACAACTTGGGAGAGATCAAGTTAGTGGCAGCAGCACAAACAACACTGAATGGGACACTGGGTACGACAGTGATGAACGTAGAGAGACACCATCTGGTAATAAATTGGTGTATGAAAATATAAATAGGTTATCAATCCCTAGTGCCTCAGGGGTCAGGAGAGGTCGCTTAACATCAACCAGTACCTCAGACACCCAGAACATTAACAACTCTGCTCAGAGGAGAACTGCGCTGCTGAACTATGAGAACTTGCCATCCTTGCCTCCTGTTTGGGAAGCCCGGAAGCTGAGCAGAGATGAAGATGACAGTTTAGGACCAAAGACCCCGTCTCTGAATGGCTACCACAATAACCTAGATCTAATGCATAACTATGTCAATACAGAGAATGTAACAGTACCAGCAAGTGCTCATAAAGTAGAATTTACACGACGTCGGGACTGTACCCCAACAGTCTTTAACTTTGACATTAGGCGTCCAAGTTTAGAACACAGGCAGCTCAACTATATACAGGTTGACTTGGAAGGTGGTAGTGACTCTGACAACCCTCAGACTCCAAAAACCCCCACCACTCCACTTCCGCAAACTCCAACCAGGCGCACAGAGCTGTATGCTGTGATAGACATTGAAAGAACTGCTGCTATGTCAAGCTTGCAAAAAGCACTGCCCCGAGATGATGGTACTTCTAGGAAAACTAGACATAACAGTACTGACCTGCCTATGTGAGCCTGGGGAGCATTGAATCATTTGCACCTTTTGTGAAGTTTATAAAATTGAAGATGCAAGTACTTTGCATTTCTTAACACTAACGCTTTTTATAGACTGAGAGAACTTTTTCTGCATACTTCATGTACTTGTCTTACTAAAGGGAATTAATGTAGAGCAAGTATTCATTTTAGGTAACACTATTTCATTCTACAGTAGAAGTAATTACTGCATAGCAGCATCACCACCTTTCACAGTGCCTCTTTAATTGATTAGAGTCTGAGTGACATGCCAGTTTTGAATTTAAAAATATTCTGGTCTGGTGCCTATACTCATTAATGGCATTTATAACACTTTTTAAAGCCTCTTGATATGTGCATTATTAGCAGGTAAACCTAATCTTTCAATATATATATATCTCTGACGTTCATTCCTCATTGAAGTGGTTCCTCCAGAATGCATTGTATGTAATGTGTTAATTCACTCAGTTTGACATGCACAGGATATATTGGTTCATCTCAAGGAATATGAACACCACACCTTTTTTGTCTGTGGGCAAGAAGGCCTCTAATTCCTGATGGTTTTCTTAACTTGTATGGTATTTGAGAGGTCCCATTGATGGTTGTTGATTGGAGCTATAAACACATCAAAAACCAACCTTAAGCTCCTTCTGTTGGATTAGAATTCCAAGTGATATATCAAATTCCCTCTGAAATCTGACAAAATTTTTATCTCGTTAGAGTTTTGGGGTGTTTTGTGAAGGAATTCACAGGTGGGCTGTATGAATTAAGGCTCTCTTGTCATTTCTTAGTTCAGTGTGCCTTCTTTTCTTTGTGTTTGTGTGTTTCCTTTTTATTTGTTCCTAATGTCTTGTTTTAAAAGTCAGAATTTTGTACATAGCTTTAATTGTTCAGAATCATATATGTATTTGTCTTACTCTCTGCATTTGACAAAGCAAGACTCTTGAAGGTCAAATGGTTGTCTTCGTCCAGTGTTCTACTTTTTTATGCCTGACAGAAATATCCAAGCTCTCCAGCAGCATGCATTATTGCACAACTGGAAAGGTTTATTATGCAGTTATTGTCTTCCTCTAAAGTGTCAAACACAGGTTACATGGGAGGCAGGGTACTGGACTTGATAGTTCTTCATAGGAAGTTGTACGTTCTAGCAATGTGCATCCATAGGTGATAGTGTACTTTAATTTAAAAAGATACGTAGTAAATTATCTGAAGGTAGTATTATCTATGAGCATACTTGTTTTCCTTTTGCAGTTAGTGAATTTGGTTGCAATGATGGCTGCTCAGTGTTCCAGGTACATCCAGGTAGAATGTTGTTTGTTGAATATGCCAGAGGCACCCTTAGACTTTCTTTTTCTGTATTGCTTATTAGTCTCTGAATAGCCTTAGAATTCTGGCAGTATTACAGGTGCACCTTGGTACTAGCAGCAGAAGAGATTGCTCTTGAGCCTGTGATTGCAAAGGACCTGACACTTGTGTGAACTGGTATCATGTAAAATAGCCCTTGAACTGTGAGGAAAAACATGCAAGAAAAGCCATTTGGAGATCTGAAAAAGCATTCAGGGTCTCCATGCAATATTTGAATTGAAGTTTTATAAAAACCAACTACAATTATTTTCTGTCTTTTGAATTGGTGTGTATTTCTGTTCCTACAACTTTTTTCTTTGGTCTTCTCTCACTTAGTAGTGGCAGCAGTAGTAGCAGCACCTGAAATATCTCTTGCCATATGAATGAATGGCATCAGGCCACCTTTTCACTCTGGCTTTCGTTATTCTTTACAGACTGTATGGTACTGAAATACCAGATGGACAAATAACATAATTTGCTGAAGTAAAAAATGGGAGTCATTGAGACCATTGTGAGGAACTTAAAAGAGATTTTTTAATAAAAAACTTTATTAATTATTTCATGGTCAGCTTCTGCATAATCTTGTGATAGACTTGCTGACTTGTGAGGAGACCTTGGTACTCAAGAAGGTAAAGACTACCTAGAGCTAGGCATTTTAAAGGCTGTAGCCAGGTGGATTTTGGTCTCCTCTCACAGTCAGCCAGCAACAGGACAAGAGGACATAGGCTTAAGCTGTGCCAGGTAGATGTTAGCAAGAAATTCTTCACAGAAAGGCTGATTAGGCATTGGAATGTGCTGCCCAGGGAGGTGGTGGAGTCACTGTCCCTGGAGGTGTTCAAGGAAAGACTGGACATGGCAGTTGGTGCCATGGTCTTGTTGACAAGGTGGTGTTTGGTCATAGGTTGTCTTCAGTGATCTCAGAGGTCTTTTCCAAGCCTACTGATCCTGTGATTCTGAACTGTTCCCTCACATCTTTGCCATTGCCTCACCGTATGAAACCTCCTGGTGTATACTGAAATTACCATGTATTGCAAAATACTTACTGGGTTAATAATACTGGTGTGATTCTTGTTCTTAGTATATAGCTCACTTAAATTTGTGAGCTGCATGTCTTTTGAGGCAAACCTTTTTGATCTAGCTAGCTGCTTAGCAATATATGGTCCTCATCTGTATAGTTTGGACTAGTTAAATGAACCCTTAAAACACACCTGTGAGGCAGGGGAAGTAATAATATTCTTAACTACTAAATAAGGAAGCAGAGGCTTTGGGTAGATCATAAGTGACCTGCTGAAATTTCAATAACTAGCCATATCCCTCCTTAGTTCCAGTGCACTGTCCTATGGATAGATTCTGAATAGTCTCAGATAAAAAGAATGTTCTGAGCAAATTTTTTACATTGTTGCAAGTTTCACAATGTTTTCTTAGCTCTGGTCCCCAGAATTGAGATAATACTGAAATTTCAACTGTCTGTAGCCTTACTTATATTAAGAATTCTGATGACATATTTTCCAGGACTACTTTTTTAACCTGTTATGTTTCACAGGTGGGATAATGCTTTCTTGTTTTGTGTACGCTATAAACATTCTGGGTAGTCCCTGTCACTCACGCTACTCATCTTTAGCATTCCTTATTTTCCGCCCCTTGAAGTAGATGCAGTTGCAATGCACTTTACCCTTTGAGACTTGGTAAATATTTTTTCAGTTCAGTCTCTTTTAAAGGCTGTGATGTTAGATTTAGTGTCTGTAATCTAGGATTCAGTTTTCAGCTGAAATCTCTCCATGGTATTTAGATCATATTTATTTTGGGCCCACAGGTGTATAGACTGAGAAACTAGAAATATGTAACCATTTCCTTTAGTAAATGTGGCATGTTAAGTTTACATAAACTAGGTCCTATAAAAATGGTAGCATCTCCATCAATTCCAATTTTCATCCATAATGTGCAGTCAGTTGCTGCCCTTCAAACACATTTGACAAGGGGAAACCTTTAACTGTAGGTATTCCTTTAGTGCAATGATTTGGGAAAGACATACATTACTGTATCTTTTAAACAAGGAAACAGAATTGTTAAAGAACACAAAAAAAGTGACCAAAAGTACATAATAAAGATTGTGCTAGAAATACAGGGAATGAGAATTTATTCCATTGTTATACCAGGAAAATAATCTTTTCCTCAAAGTTGTGTCAGAAGGAGGACCAATTGTTTTAATTTTTGTGGTGTTTTTTGCTGACTTCCTAAAACAATATTGAAAAAGACCATTCTGAAAACCATGAGATTCATTAGAACATCTTTTGTTTCCCCCAATAAGTATGTTTTGCATTTAGCAGGGGTTGAATCTGATGGTGTGCATTGAAGCACTATCCCTATTAAAGTCTTCAGAGCTTTTATATTAAATATAAGTGTTGAATTGAAATTTCATACAATAAATTGATAAAATGTCCTTCTCATCCCCCCCCCCTCCTCCCCCGAAAAGTGTGTGTGTGTACCTCTAACTAGGCTTGGGTGTAAAAAGGATCATGGAAATGTGTAAAGAGTACAAAGTCCAAAGCAATGTCAAAACAGGGCTGCTTTTTATAGGTGACAGATCAGCAGTTGATTTTGCTGGTTTTATAACACTGTGTATTGGCTCAAAATCTAGCTGTTCTTGTTTTTGTTTTATATTTACCTTCTTCTCAAAGAGAGAGATTCAGGAGAGAGCAGATTGTTTTTATTCATTGTCAGTGAAGTACGAGTGGAAATTCTGATTCATGTCAGTTACTAGTTTGAGCATATAATGATGTATCGGATTTGGATGTCTCTTTTTAAACAGTATTCCTCGCTTCATGTAAGGCGAGATCAATGGTGAAATTCCATTTCTGCACTGTACTAATTTATTTTATGTCTTCAAATAAGATAAAACTAATGGAGTAGGAACTAGTAGTGGACTTAAATCTGAAATTCTCCTATTTCCCCTAAAGGAGTCTGGTCCTTCATTGTGATAGATAGAGTTAGGTATTTTTGGAATTTAATGATAGGATCTTTCCCATCTCTTCCTTGAGGTAGCAATTCAGGCATTTATATTTGACAGTATTTACTTAATATAAACCTAAGTTCATTTATTATATCTTTATTTTTAATTCATATACACTCCAAGAAAAAAAAATCCAGAAGAAATTCCACCACAAAAAACTGCGTTAAGATGGAGTCAGGTTTGCTGATGTCCTTCTTACAGAAGATTATTAAAATGGAAGTCATGTTGAGGTTCTTTCACGATCTTTAGGATTTACTTCCTCTTTTGGACAAGATGAGTGAATCAGATTCAAAAAAAAGAGCAATTTAGCATCTGCAACTCTGACCATGTATACATTATTTCTTGTGCTGTGCTGTAAGGTATGTGAATAAGTCTGTCAGATGTCTTATGAGGATATTTTCCTAACACGTTGTTTACTCCAGATTAACGCAGTATTTTGTTTGGAAGTATGTAGGTGTACAGGTAGAAATAGAATATGAGAAATAAGGTTGATGAAACAATTGTTGGACATTTCTATATTTTTATACATTATGAAGGGCATTTTTGAAATTTTTCTTGCAGTTTTAGTAATTAGTGTGATAATATACATATATTGTGACAATGTTTTCCGCTATATCCATTACTTTGGTGTAATTGTATTTTATGTAGCAAATATGTGTATATAGAAAGGAGATTATGTAAAAGCTATGATTAAAAAATAGGCTTAAGCCCTTCAGAACAGGAACTGTCTTCCTTTGTGTCTACAAAGTACTAAATGCCTTGGGGTCCCAGCCAGAGCTCCCGTCTGAGACCTGTAGTGACGGAATTGCCCAGTGAGGAGTGTGGGGGAAGCAGCTCCCTGCTTTCCACGAGAAGCCTTAGTACGAAAGGTGCCGTGAAGCTCACCCTGCCAGTCCCGGTGCTGGGGCTGTGCAGGGTACGGCTGTTCCCAGCACCGCCTGCCAAGCGACCCAGAGAGCCCGGAGTGTCCTTTGCTCCAATCCTTCCCCTTTGCAGTAGGAAAGCAAGTCTGACAAGGAGCTTTGGTGTCCTCAGGAAATCTTCCTTGTTAGCGGGGTGACACTTCCAGAGCTTGTTCAGTCTGCATGCAGTGTCCCTTGAAGACAAAGAAATGATTCCTGTTGACATCAAGGGCCACTGGATGTGCTCCTGAAAGATCAGGTACTACTGGTGTAACAGCTGTGTTACACCTGAGGACCTGCTTGGTCAAGTTCTTCAGGAATGGTCTAAAAAGATGTAAAAATATAAATATATTTAATTACATGTACTGAAAACCAAATCCTATTTGTTGTGGTCAGAGTTCAGATAATTACGGGAATTTTGATTTCTTAAGTCATAGTTGCATATATATTGCTTTAACTGTTGTGTATGAAAGAGGAAGTGATTCTAAAATGTGTGAAAGGTCAGGATTATACCTGTTTTTTAATAATAATGTTATTTAGGAATGGATGTCAGCAAATTTAACTCCATAATAATGCAGTATTTTTTGCATTAGAAAAACATTACATGTGCGTATCTCATACACCCACATTTTATATATAATATATTATATATTTGGTACTAAGTTTGTATTTTGAAATTTTGCCAAATCGCAAACACGGATGTTCTCACTTGTAAGACTTTGGTACTTAATAACTGAATGTATAAGAAATGCTCTGGTATGAGAGGAAAGAGTGTTGTATGGTGTCCCACGGTCCAGATGGCCCAACCAGCAGGCACGTTGCCTTTTTTATGTCTCGCTTCATTGCAGCATCACCTTTGGTCTCCTGGAAAGCAGTCTGTGTCCCAGCCAAACCGCAGGCCAGCTGTGCACCGCACTAGCGTCAACGCTGACTGGTAGTAGTGATACAGTAGTCACCAGTGTGCCACAAATGCATTTATTAAATGCAGAAATAGACATTTCTACAAAGGCCAAAATCTTATGTTGTATGTTCCTTTCTTGTCATTACATTGTATCATATTGTAAGATTATTGTATGTCCTAATTTGCATTATAAAATGTTTTTTCCTACTTAAAGGCATAAATATAGCAACTTTGTATAAAGGTAGCTTTCTAGATTTTTATTTCTTTTATATAAAAAAGTCTAAACAGTGGGAGTACCATTGCCAAATTGTTTATAAAATTTCAAGTAATTTTCCCTGTTCAGTGAATTTGTTTTTACAAACATTCCATATTTCTTATGCTATGCAGAAAGAGTGTATTTTTATGCCATTCCACATTAATCTTAAAAAAAAATTCACTTCTTTTAAGCTGTTGTTATAAAGCTTACCAAATGTGCATTTAAAAAAAATGTGTTATGTACATTTTTCCCCTTACCAGTGCCAACTTCATTTGGAAAAAAAAAAAAAACTGTAGCATGGCAATAAACTATTGATTTTACATTAAAAATTGTCTGTGGATTACTTCAGTAGTTTGCAGTGTTTGTGTCAATGTATTGTGTTTTGTTTGTATAATCTTTTTTGCTTTTCTTTAAATTATTGCTTCATGTACCTCTCTCTGCCCTCCTCCCTGCCTCCCTATTCCACTCATTACTCAGTAGTTTAAAAAAACCCAAAACTGATCATGGTGGTTTGAAGTCTGTAAATCCATCTCCAATATTTTGTTTCATTTCTGCTGGTTTGCTGTCACACCTTTGTCATGCATGTTGATGGAGATTTTTTTTTTAAAGAGGCATTTTTTTTCTTCAGGTACAGTGAAGAAACATACAGCAACTTGAAATATTGCCCTTGGCACAAGAGAGGTGAGGGCATGGCACAGGTGAGAGAGGTGAGAGTCCAGAACCAGCACTGCTGCTGTGTTCTTCCTATTCTGGTGTCACTACCTCTACACATT